CCTGGCTATGGGTTAGCTGATGATCAGTTCACCCAATGTGTGGCTGTTACTCATAAAAATTGCCCAGTTCCTTCTCCTTGTTCCCCAGAGCAGCATTCTGGTTCCAGTTCTGCTCTCCACATACACTTCTGCCAAAAGGAAGAAAACATGGTCCCTAAACCACATGAACTCCCTGTCACCTGGGCAATCCAGTCCTTGTGGTTTAGGAATTAATTGGTATTCTGGATTATTTATTAGATCTTTTTGAGCTTGACGTTCACAAAGGGAATAGTAATCAAGAGTCTTGCCAAAAGCCATTACTTATCCCCAACTCTGTTAGGTGTAGTTTGCAGACCTAGTTTGGGGTAACAAAGTGATAGCTTTTGTCTTTCCAGGTCTGCACTCTGAGCCCAACACCATGCTTGCACATGCTGGGCAAGCACTGTACTACTGAGCTACACCAGCCCTGCGACAACTTTAATGAATTTGTCTGGCAGGTTAAATGAGACATTTATGTCAATGGCTAAAATGGGTGATGTGGTATCACAAGAAGGATGGTCAGAGTGGCTTCTGACTGGAACTGTGGTAGGGATGGCATACTATTTGAACCTGAAATGGGGAAGGATTTGGTCAAGTGGAGTTGGGACAGGCAGTTAAAGGAAATAGTGTAAAGATGGCAAGATATGAGGATGTGATCTAGGATCTTAAGACTTCACTTTTAATTATAATGTACTTACAGCTAAACACATCCCTAAAGTTAACAACTTAGCTATCACAGTATAGTGATCAAACCAGGAAATTATTATTTTACCAGTTCCCTCCCACCATACCTTTGGTCTGTTTCAGGTTCTAGTGTGGAATGCTGTGCTACATCACTGAATCGTGTTTCCTTGGTGTCTTCTATATCTTTGACAGTTTCCTTTTGCAGCCTCAAGTTTTTTTTATGAACTTCATGACACCTTTTTAAAATTTTTATGTATTTATAATATATGTGAGTGTTGCACCTGTATGTAGGTAAATGCACCAAGTGTGTGCAATGCTTACTAAGGCCAGAAGAGGATATTGAATCTCCTGGAATTGGAGTTACAGATGGTTGTTAACCACCATGTGGGTGCTGGTGCTAGAACTTTGATCCTCAGAAAGGACAGCCAGTGTTTTTAACCACTGAGCCATCTCTCTAGCCATTAATGACACTTGACGAGTACTAACAAGTTTTTGTTGTTGTTGAGAGACTTCAGTGTGTGCTTGATCTAATGTTTTCTCGTGAGTGGGCTGAGATCACCTAGTCTGGGCATGGCTGCTTCCAAAGTTATACTGTGTCCTCAGTGCCTGGTGTTGGGGCTACAGGATCCTGGCACATCTTATTCTGATGATACTAATCAGACCACTTGGTTAAGGTTCTGTCTTCTGGGTTTCTTAGTTGTAAAGCTACTGTTCTCCCTTCATAACTGATAACTCTCCGGGGTAGATACTTTGAGATTCTGCTAATGCTCTGCTTCTTCTCCAGCCCATGCTCTCTGAGTTTAGCATCTTTCAGTGGAAGTCACCGGTAGTGATTTTCACTGTGGTTTGCCTGGTTGTGGTTATGTATTTCCTTTGTTATTTTTACATTTACTAGTTGGGATTTTCCTTTAAGGAAGAGCTGTTTCTTCCCCTCATTTATATATTTATTCAATTATTTCTATGTCAGTATAGACTCATAGATACTTCTTTTATTCTCCATGTTATGACCCAATACTAGTGTTATTAAATCTGTGGTTCATATTTTTCTAACTTCAGCTCTTGAACTCTTTAACAATGGCTTCCATGTCTTTTTAATATACCTCCCTTCTTTTATGAGGGCAAGTGGATTGGTGGTGAGTTTTTGTTTGTTAGTATTTGTTTTTTGTTTTTGAAAGACTTGCCCTGTGTAGTCCAGATTGGTTTAGAATCTGCATTCCTCCTGTTTTAGCTCTCAAGTGCTAGAATTGCAGTCATGCACTACTATGTTTGGCCTCAAAGTGATTTTTTTAAAATTAAAAACCAAATCAATATATACAGCATTAGGTTTCATTCTGGCATTTTCAAAGTTTGGTTTTGTTGATTCTCCTCCCTCCAACTTCTCCCCTAACCTTCTAACCCTGTCTTGTACCCTTTTACAAATCTCCCCATAACTTCTTTTCTGTTTTCATGTTATGAATGTCTTATTTGTGACCCCCTTCCTCAGCATATCTTTCCCCCCTTGTGATCTCTTTCCTAATTAGAAGTGAATTTTAAGGATTTATTTTGTTTGTGTGTGTATGTGCCTTTGTGAGACTACACATACATGTGCACATTAAAAGAGAGCATGGTTGTCCTATATCACTCTGCCTACTCCTGGGAGGCAGGGTTTCTTCCTGAACTTGGACCTTGTATTTTTTTGGTTAGACTGAAGACCAGCAAGCCCATTAATCCTCCTGTTTGTACATCTCCACCCTTAGAGCTTGTGTTGCAGTCATGTGCAGCGTGCCAGTTTGTTATGTGGATGCTGGGATCTGAACTCCTGTCCTCATGATTATGCAGTAGGCGCTCTTAACCACTGAGCCATCTCTCCAGCTCAGAAGTGAACTTTAATTCATTTGATTTTGCAAATGAAGAAACAGAACTGAGAGGTGGAGCGATTTTCAGAAAATTGTCTGGCTGGATATCACTGAATTTTGTCCAGGGAAGGACTAGCACTGGGGCATTGGGAAAACTTCTTTTCTTGGCATATTATCACTGACATTCCACATCTTCATATATCTCCATGGCCATATTCTATACACATAAACACAATTATCTCAATTTGTATAGACAAATGTTCTTTTTGAGACAGGGTCTCCCTGTAGCCCTAGCTGGCCTTGAACTCACAGAGATCCATCTGCCTCTGCCTTTGGAGTGCTGGGATTAAAGGTATGCACCACAATACCAGGCAGATTTAGAAATTAATTATAACATTGTATTAAAATACAATGTTATAATTAATTTCCTTTCTAGAAGACTAGATAGGACTGTAAACAGAGGGAGGAATGTGATCTGTGACCTCGCATCTTCTGGTTACTCTTGATCTGTCTTCTTGAGTGGCTTATTTTATTTCTTTGACCCTCTTGTCTTCAGATAGCATATGAACTTTACTAATTTTTTTCTAAACTATTAAATAATTATTGAAATGTGACTAAGAGCTTTGCTCCTAAGTAGATTCTCAGTAGCAGACGTTACTGTTCATGCCACTCTTCCAGAACCCCCAGCTATTTTCTAGAGAGCAAAATAATTTTATCTCTTTGAATTTCTTGATTTGCAAACCTTGGTATGAGAATTCATACCAAAAGGGGGAAGCGTACAATGTGCTAATACTAATATATTTGATAGCAAAATTGGAGACAAGTACTTATAGTAAGGATCTGTTAATGCTATTAAAGAATATTTGAAAATTTTCTCTTATGTTTCTTTTTTATGCAAAAGTAGGCAGGCGGACTTTCCTAATTTAAAAAATCTAGTGGATGTCAATAGATGATTTTAGATGAATGCCAATAACATTTAACCACCGGGCTGAATGGTGCCAGATGTGTTACAGAACTTCATGCTGGGAACCTCAGGGTCAGTATTAAGTTAAACCTTTTCTATCCTTCAGAGCTGCTGCTCATAGTCCTGATACTCCCAGAATCACTGCTTTTTATGGGAGGATGCTCCTGGATATTAACAATTTTACAGTTGATTGGTGGCCAGTCTTCCTGGTGCAAGCTACTCCAGACATCTACACACTGGAGCCACACTTTGGAAAGTGCTGCTGATGGAAGCAGCTCAGAGAGCTGGGCCTCATTTGAATAGTGCTTGCCTGGGTATCTCCATTTAGGAATACATAGGCCTCTCTACATACCTGTTACCTGTTCTGTGGGTCTAGACTTTCTTCAGTTTGAGAAGATGATAAATAATATATTTCATGTTTTTGTATGCCTGAAGTGATCCATTCATGATTTTTATAGTATCAAAATTAAAATGTTGCCAGACTTGATGGCACAAGCTTATAATCCTATCACTTGGGAAGCTGAGGCAAGAGGATCTCAATTTTGAGGCCAGCTTAGGCTGCAGGGTGAGACCGGGTTCCCTTATACACTACAGAAATCATTTACTTTTGTTCCACCTTTTGTCTTTGTTTAAACTATGGAATCCTTGACTTTTAACAAAAATGTTTGAAAATATCTCCACTGTTGTATTTGAAGTGGCTAGTGCACCATAAAATGTCTTTAGTGTTCCTTAAGTGGTTAGAAAAAAATATGTATATAGAAAAAAAGAGAAATAAAGTTTCTGTCTCAAAAAAATAACAGCCATTAAAACTGTTAATGTAATAATTCTAAAGCAAAATTAATTTCAGTTAAAAGGAATGAATTCAGACAAAATATCTCCACTGTTGTATTTGAAGTGGCTAGTGCACCATAAAATGTCTTTAGTGTTCCTTAAGTGGTTAGAAAAAAATATGTATATAGAAAAAAAGAGAAATAAAGTTTCTGTCTCAAAAAAATAACAGCCATTAAAACTGTTAATGTAATAATTCTAAAGCAAAATTAATTTCAGTTAAAAGGAATGAATTCAGACAAAATAATACATGAACCTAGTAAAACTTATGTTAGTGGTATGACTTTAGTTGGTTTATGGTCTTTATGAATATGTGTTAGAATAATTAAATTGTTTATCTCAAGTAGTTTATTTAAAATAATATTTGATACTTTATAGATGAAGACATTATTTCATATCGCTTCTTGAGCTAAAAAACAAATTCTTCCGCTTTATTTTTATTCATACATTTTTCTCACTAAGAAGAACACACTAACTTCATAAGACATTCTAGACAAAAGGAATTAGTGACTAAGCCCTAGGGATTGTCATTTGTATTATGTGACATAATATGTCATAACGCTGGAGAACATTCTCTAGTAACTATCTAAAGACTTGATTTTTAAAGTTTTGCTTTAAGGAGTATGATGTGACTTGACTTTCTCGCTTTTGCTGTGCTCTACTATGGTGAGCTTGCAAGAACCTTGTGATGTAGTGACGACTGACACCTTTCCCTGCTCCCTCCATCCTTACCTATTGCTGTTCTCCTTAGTATCACAGGGTTTTAGAAATACATCATTAGGAGATAATTTTTATTCAACCCTGCCTTTCCCTCAAACACTTAACTCTGCCTTTCCTGAAGAAATCTTTCACATTTGGAATTATTTAAACTATTGGGTGAAATGCTTCCGTGAACAAGCTAAGTACTAAGCCTATGGCCCATTTATGTTGCTTCCTAGTAATATTCCTCAGACTGGGGTCATGGAACAACCTGAGAGGCACTTGGGATACATTTTAAAAACACATATGCTGGGGCTGGAGAGATGGCTCAGTAGGTAAAACACTGGCCATTAGAAGCATGAAGACCTGAGTTTGGATCCCCAACACCCACATAAATGCTGGATGGATGGGCACTGAAGCCTACCTGTGATTCCAGGTCGTGATCAGAAGTTGGAGACAGGGGATCCCTGGAGCAAGCTGGTAGCCAGACTCTATATTATGTAGTATACTTTGCAATGACAAGCTTTGGTTTTAAATCTGAGACCCTGTTTCAACCAGTAAGGTGGAGAGCAATAAAAGAGGACTGCTGATGTCAAACCTCAGGTGTGCATATGCACATGCACATATGTCCCTACATGTATGTGAACATGCATACACATACCACACATGTACACATGCAAAAATAAAAGTTAAAGACATATTATTTGGTCCCATCCTGATGTACAAAATCAGATTGTGTATTTTAAGCAAATGACTCCAAAGACTGTTACTTGATAAAATTTGAAGTCCATTGGAATAATGCTGATTTATTGAAGATGTGGTAGGCTTTGAAGGAACAATGTTTTGAGCTATGAACCCAGTGAGATAATGAGCATTCTTTCATCTTAAAGTGAAGAAGTAGGGTGTAAAGATTTTCCATGCTCCTTCCACTCTTAAACGCTAGAGATCATTTTGTCCTTTGTATATTCTTTTAACATTTCAGCTTAATGTGTATGGACTTCTGAGGACACTCTTGGTCTTTCAAACTGATTGTAAACACTTCTGTTGGCAGCTTTAAGAGTCGATTAATTTTTAAAAATCAAATCCTTTGGGAATTTAAGGCTTTTTCCTATTAATCAAAGACTGTTTAGAACACTGTGGTTGAGTTTCAAAGTCCATCTGGTGTTGACTAATTGGGATGGATGGGGCATCAGGAGATACCATTACTCTACCATGGTAGGTTGGGCTACAGATTTTCTAAACCTTGGAAGTTAGCATCAAGGCTTTTAGTATAATCTTTGAAAGGTGACCTTAGTGAATAAAAGCCTTCTAATGGCAATGTAGAGGAAGGACTGCATTAATATTGGTTTAAGTTCTGGTCCATTCTCTTTTCATTTAAGTTGTTTTAGCAGTAAAAATTACCGTTAACTATTTTTCAGAGACAAAGTTAGGAAAACAAAACTTGCAGAGACTGTAACAAGAACTCAAACTGAGATGTGCCATTTTAACAAAAATTTGGTTTTTGCTTGGATGATAAGCTTAGAAAAAGAAATAAATGCTCTTAACGTTGCTGAATTAAAACAGGACTGCTTTGCAGTTGTATCAAAGCATGATTTGTTCTGTCTTAATCTATGAGTGACTTGTCTACCTTAATTAAATCCTCAGGAGATAATCCACAGAATGTTTATTAAAGAATGTGATAAATGCAAAACAATATCTTTTCTTGGAGATCAACTTGCAAAATGAATTGGGGCGGGGGGTAGCTTAAGACCCTCCTCTTGGATTTAGTTTTTTGGTGTTTTATCTTCATGTTGACTGAACAGCTCTTAATACTATAAGAAGAACGAAAGCATTTCTGAAATTTCTACCCAAAGAACAAGGGAGGGAGTTTGCTCCAGTTACTTCCTTTTAATATTTCACTTTCAAGGCCTAGAATTTGTGCATTGAATATCAATGTGCAAAATCGGCATGTAAGCTGTACTCTCTATTTGAGGAAGAGCTGGTGAGAGCTGGAGAAGCATCTCCTCAGGAGAGGGTTTGCCTAGCATGTGAGAGGCCCTGAATTTAAAGCGGGGGGGGGCGTTCAAAAAGATGAAGGGCACCATAGGAAACAATTCTCATTCTCAAAGAAGACACCACAGAAGTTGATACAGAGCTTCATATTTCTTCAAATAACATGATTTAAAAATGACAGTTGGGGGCTGGAGACATGGCTCATTGGTTAAGAGCACTGATTGCTCTTTCAGAGGACCTGGGTTCGAGTCCCAGAACCCACACTGTGTCTAACAACTGTCAGTAACTCCAGTTCCAGGGGAATCTGATGTCCTGACCTCTGCAGGCATTGCATGACATGGGTGCACTTATATACATGCAGGCATTACACTCATATACATAAAATAAAAAATAGTAAAATTGAAAAATGACAATAGGAAATTATAGTTTGGGGGTAATTCCTAAGGAGGGAAGGAAGGAGAGAGGGAAGGAGGGAGAAAAATCAAATCCTTTGGGAACGTAAGTTTTTTTCCTAATAATCAAAGATGCTGCTTAGAACACTGGTTGAGGTCTTCCTCACTTCTTCAAAACCTTAAAGAGGTATTGATGAAGGGCTGGGTGATACCTCAGTTGGTAAAGTGCTTGCTGTGCACTCATGAGGATATGAGTTTGATCTCCAAAACCCACATAAGAAAACTGAGCCCAGTGACATGCACTTGTAATCCCAGTGCTAGAGAGGTGGAGACAGGCAGATTCCTGTCTTGCCAGCCAGCCTAGCCTAATTGGAGAATTTCAGGTCAATGAGAAAATGTCTCAAAATATAACAAGGTAGATGGTTCCTGAAGACTGATACCTGAGGTCATCCTCTGACCTTCACACACACACACACACACACACACACACACACACACACACACACACATTCAATAAATACCAGTGAGGCTATCTTCTAGCTTCTTATATTAACCCAATGTTTATTACTTCCAGAAGGCCAAACTTAAGCATACTTTTTATAACTTTGGAGTTAATATAACTGCCAGTCACAGTTGTAGTAATATTGACATTTTGAGAAATTTATTTGTGAGGTGATATACCATATTTCTGCCATTGGAAATGTTACCATATTCAGAAAATCTGAATAATCTTTGGGTTTTTGAAACATTTTTATTGGAGAGGGAGGGAGGGAAGGAGAGAGAGAGAGAGAAACTTTGCTAGAGTAGTCTTGACTGGAAATATAAAACAGAAACTAGGAAAAATAGATGTAACTCACCTTTTGTCTGAAGGGATTTTGCTTCATGGAATGCTACAAAGATCTATTGTCAAAAATGTTTTGTACAACTTATACAATTTTTATAGTACAGTTTGTATGTTATGACAGAATTCTGAGAAACCTAAAGTGAAGGGATATAAAATCATGTTTGGAGAATGAGAAGGAAACAATGGTCTTTTTTTTTGCCAGAGTCAAATATTAATTTGCTATGCTTTTTAAGAAGCTTTGGTCTCTTTGACCGAGAAAATCCAACAGGGGAAAATTTTCAACTATGCTGCAGGTGAACGTTTGATAGGCTTTTGACTTATTTCACCATGTGGAAAGAGAAAATGCTGAGTAAATATTTGCACATTGCTCTGAAAGGAAATAAAAAACACATTACAAGCAATTTAGTCATTTGACGGCATGTTGTTTAATTACAAGTAATTTCTCTTGGATTGTCTCATTGCCTGGAAATGCCTTGACTTTGCATCTAAGGAGGACTCTGCCATAGACAGTCTGTGCGTAGCTTCCACTTCCTCTTAGGCGCCCATGGACATGGTAGCTACTTCTTGTGCTGTCTATGAGACCTGTGCTTTACTCCTCCCAAGAGTAAACACAGTTTAGCCTGGCCTTTTATTTAAGAACACATCTCAAATAATCTCTAACTTTTGAGTGTTTTAATGTAAAAGGGATGAATGTAAGGGTTCTCAAGAACAGTGGACATTTAGGGTTTTGTTTTCTATGGTAACTAAAATTATCAAGTAGTCTTAATCATCAGAGTCATATACAGAGTCATACTGCCAGGCAATTTGAGACATTGTTATTTGTGATCATCTTTAGTTTATGGTATTTAATTTTAAGTGCTAACATCTTACCTTTCACTAGTAAATGAGTGAATACCTGCTCACAGTTGTGTTCTGAAACACACATGTAGACACACATACACATACACACATTCACATACATGCACACACAGACATATACACATACACATGCATGCATGTGCACACACACACACACACACACACACACACACAGAGTTGCTGTGTTCCTGAGGCTTTTGTTGGAGTTCAATAAAGAAATGAGAATTCAGTCATTCTAAGATGCTTAGTCTGATCATGTCAAAATCTGGGTCAGTGAGGTGGTTCAATAGTAAATAACTTGCTGCACAAGTCAGATGACCTGAGTTCAATCCCAAAACCCCACAGTGGGAGGAGAGAAACGACTACTGAAAGTTGTCCTCTGACCTCCACATGCATGTGTGCCTACACCACTCACACACACACTCTCTCTGTCTCTCTCTATTTCTCATACATACTAATAATATATACAATTAGAAAATTTTAACTAGAAAGAAGCTGTCCTACAGCATTCAGTACTGCATGCACTATGCAAACACAAGTTTAGTTTCATCCAAATATCATCACTGTATACTACTCTTTCTTATTTGAATTTTACTGCCTTACATTTTTAACTTGCCTACATGTTAGGATTCTATATATAAAAGTCTAGGTGTTAGGAAAGTTATTCCTAGTTTTATGTGAATACATCTTTAGGTGATGTCCTAAAACGTATGTTGTGATGACTTTTCTCTTTTGCAAGGGTCTTTTTCCTCGAGTGATGGTAAAGATAAACCCCAGGTGGATAGACATGAGTTAAAGGAGTCACCTCAGGTTTTATTTGGTAACTACTGACAGTAGGAATAAGAGCTTTGTTTGAATTTATGTGGAAGTGACTACATTTTTAGGAGGATATGGTAAGAGGGAAGGGGAAAGTCCTGAGCAGAAATGGGGAAGTGAAAATTACAAAGGGCAGGAAATAGAGGTGAGTCTGTGTGAAACCCATTGGTTTCAGTAACTGGTGCTTGCTTGTCCACATTAGACTTTTACCCTTCCATGGAGGCAGGGAGTCAGGGGCTCTAACTTTACTTACTGGCTAGAAGGAACAGTTAATTGTTTCGGCCTTGAATTTTCCCAGGCAGGTACTCCACGTGGGCTTAGGTCATCCTAGGGATGAAACTTTGAATTTTTAAGAGTCTGTAAGTACCTGTTCAAGGCTAAGGATTAACATTAGAGCCTACTTGAGAAGTGGGTTCAAAGGAGCCTGAGTGGAGTTTTGTCAAACAAAGAGTGTTGGCAAACTTCACTTCCTCAAGACAAACAGCAATTGCTGCATGCTGGCCATTTGAGAGAGCTTGGGTTTAAAATCTTAACATGGCCTATAGAGTCTGATTTATGTCCCCAAATGTCCTTCAATGTGGGTCCATCCACTGGGCCCACCAAAAGTCCCATCCCTGTAACACACATTGTTCCCCCTCCCAGCAGCCAATATGTAAAGTTAGGGCCCATGTCTCCCTGCCTCCATGGAAGGGTAAAAGTCTAATGTGGACAAGCACCAGTTAGTGAAACCAATGGGTTTCACATGGCCAAAAGTTCTATCTATAGTCTGAATTATATAAATCAAAGAGTACATTAAATTGGGAGGAGGCCAGTGATGTGAGGTATAGATAGGGGAGGGGATCTAAATTCCATAAAACTATATTCTTTTTAAAATTTAAAAAAATTTTTTTTATTTTATGTGTATGCATGTATTGCCTGCATGTAGGTAAGTGTACCTGTGTTTTGCAATGCCCACGGAGGACAGAAGAGAAGAAGCTGTCAGATCCTCTGAGACTGGAGTTACGGACAGTTGTTAGCTGCCATGTGGGTGCTGGGATTTGAACCCAGATCTTCTGTAAGAACAACCAGTGTTCTTAACCATGGAGCCATGTCTCCAGCCCCCCATCAAACTATATTCTATAAAAATCACAAAAATTCAGTAAAAAATAAAAATTTAAAAAACCTTAATACAAAAATATGAATGATGATGTTATTTTGATTCAGGGCTGAGATCTGGACTATAAAATTCAGGAGTACAAAGAAGCTGGAAGACTTTTTCCTGGAGATCAGATAGTGGACTAGTTTATACAGTTGTTGCTTGGAGTTGATTATATTCATGAAAGGTATGTTGAATTGCTTCTGACAACCCCTGGCAGTGATTCTCTCCTTTCTGACCTCTTGGTGCTCATTGTTCTATGTCCTAAAGCAAGGGTGTCCCTGTAGCCCCAGCTGGCTTGGAACTCAATTTGTAGACCAGGCTGACCTTGGACACACAGACATCTGCCTGCCTCTGCCTCCTGAGTGCTGGGATTAAAGGTGTGCACCACCACGCCCGGCTTAGGGTATATATTTTTTAAAAAACATTTATTATTTTTATTTTATGTGTATGTGTATAGTACCTGCATGAAGGCAAGTGCACCTGTGTTGTGCAATGCCCACAGAGGACAGAAGAGGCTGTTGAATCCCCTGGAACTGGGGTTACAGACAGTTGTTAGCTGCTATATGCATGCTGGGTTTCAAACCTGGGTCTTCTGCAAGAACAGTCAGTGTTCTTAACCTCTGAGTCATCTCTCCAGCCCCGACAGGATACATTTTTAACAGACATGTCTTAACTTGAAAAGTGAATGTTTTTGATTGATTAGAAAGCAAGTCTGTAAGGTAAATGGCTATAGTTAAACTTCTGTAATTTTTCATAATATGTTTTTTTTCTTGAAGAAACTGTTAAATGATTATTTGCTTGAAGAGTATTTACCTGCATCGGTGTGTGTGTGTGTGTGTGTGTGTGTGTGTGTGTGTGTACCACAGGGTGTATGTGGAGGTTGGAGGACAACCTTTGGTGTTAGTCCTCACCTTCCATCTTGTTTGAGAGACAGGGCCTCTTGTTCTCCACCACATATGCCAGGCTGAAGAATTCTCTGGTCTCTGCCTCTCATCTCCCTGCAGGAGGGCTCATATTACAGACATGGGTTGAAGTTTGGCTTTTTATGTGGGTTCTGGGAATCCAACTCAGGTTCTCATGCTTGCACAGTGAGTGCTTTATCCACTGAGTCATCTCCCTAGAAATGAGGCTCTAGAAATCAAGTTGGCCTCAAATGTAAGACAGGAGCTTGTATTAGACACATTGCCTTACCTAATCACCTCCCGTGAGTTACAGCTGATACTTGGGCATCGTTAACAGGCCATGAATTTATTGAATCTTAAAGCAGGCTTAAGTTACAAATGTACCACAAACAAGTTGTGTGATTACCTTGCAATGCATCACTATGTATTAGCTAGGTTCACATCCAAAGATGAGTTGAGTGATTGAGGTGAAAAATATTGTTTAGCATTAGAGTGATAAATATTCAAGACAGCCTAACATTGAGTCTGTGGTATGGTTGTTAATGGTGAATTTTATGCAGGTCTGCAATAAAAAAAGAGCAAGTGGGGCAGAAAGAAATACAGAATGTATAGTTGGAGAGAAAGAGAACACCAGGAAGTTTAATGTTGGAGCCAAGGCCTCTGCTGGAGAGGCTCTCTTTGATAAGGAGATTAGAGCTAAGGAGAGGTCTTCAGGTTTGTACTGCAACAATGGAAAGAACACCTTCAGGACAAGACACCACCCAGATATGCTTCCAACTCCTGAAAAGAAAAGAACTAAGGAGTTTTCTGCTACTAGAAAGCAGCTGCTGGTAATGTGGATGAAGTGGGCCGAGGTCCATCCCAAGCTGGCAGTGGAACTTAGCAGTGCAGTTCATGTGGTACTGGCTTTTGAGGCATGAAGGGTGCAAGAGTGAGGGGGTCATTGGTTCTTCTGCTGTTTTAGAGAGCCACGGAGGCCAGGCAGCATGTAGCAGAGGAGTTGCTGCCAGAAGAAGGCTCTAGGAGGCCAGGAGGCCCTAAGAGGCCAGTGCATGAAGCTGTGAAGGTGATGCCTCATTGGCAGTGGAGACCCCAGGATATTGGAGATGCCTGAGTGGTGAGATATCTGCCAAGGAGAGCTGTATACATGGAGTGAAACCAGCCCATGTGAGAGATGTTGTAGACAGCAAAGCTGGAGGGGCAGCCATCTAAGCCTTTTGGAAGTAAAGTCTCAGAAGTAGGACATGGAGCTACTGGATTTGATGTTTGAACTGCTGGGTTTTGGTCTTGCTTTGGTCTAGTATTTCCTAATTTGTCTCCATTCCTCCCTTTGGGAATGGGAATGTGTATTTTGTTCCATTGTATGTTGGAAGTATGCAGTTTGTCTTTTGATCTTGCCTTGAGTCTCAGAAGAGACTTTGGACTTGTGGATAGTATTGAGAATGTGAAGGACTATGGAGATTTTGAAGATGGACTAAATGCATTTTGCATTTTATATGGTCATGAACCTATGGGGGGCCAGGGAATGGAATGTGGTGGTTTGAATAAGTGTCTCCCATAGGCTCCAAGTATTTGAACACTTTGTCCCCAGTTGGTGGTGCTGTTTTGGGAGGTTTTAGGAGGTACGGCCTTACTGGAGGAAGCATGTCACTGGGGGTGGGCTTTGAGAGTATTTAGCCATGCCCCAGGCTTGTCTGTTGCTCTCTGCCTCCTATGCATGTTTGAGGATGCGAGTGCTCAGTTTTCTTCTCTGGCCACCTCCTGCTGCTGCGCCTCTCCTGCCATTATGGACTCTCCCTCTGGAACCATAAGCCAAATAAACTTCTCCTTCTATAAGTGGCCTTGGTCATGGTGTTTTATCACACCAACAGAAAGGTAACTACTATGGATGCCAACTGTGGTATTCCCTGTGAACAATATAAAGCTAAAATCTGGTTGCCTTAAGATCCAAAATTTTATTTTCTACTGTTGTCTTTTAATTAATTTTGCTATTTATTTTTATTATACTGGGCTACATAAGACCATTTTCCTGCAAGTATATAATGTACCATGAACATTTTCTCCCAACAGTATTGGTGTGTTTCAGACTGCTTAGTGATAATTAAAAATAAGTGAGTTTAAGAAGAACCTCCAAAGGGAGGAACATCGTTTTGCAGACCTTGAAAATTTAGAGCAGATCCTTCAATGGGCTACATGCTGGGATGTCCTTGAATCTGTGGACCTGGAATTCCATACTTACTATATATTATTATTATAACTTCTTATGTATAGAGAAATGACAATTTTATGTTTAAGTCAGTTTTTTTTTACTTCATAGCCATAAACTGTGGACCTGGAATTCCATACTTACTATATATTATTATTATAACTTCTTATGTATAGAGAAATGACAATTTTATGTTTAAGTCAGTTTTTTTTACTTCATAGCCATAAATTAAAATAAATCTTAACCCAAAAGAATTATTAGTAAAGTATCAGTGATAAAAACTTACACACTCATAACTTTAAGGCAGGTGGGTGTACAGGAATCACTGTCTCCACTGCATAAAAGATCATGACATTCAGCAAACTTCTTAACATCTCTGAGCCTTTGTTTTCTCACATATAAAACAGTAACAGTGATGGGACCTACTTCTTTTATAGGACTGCACAGAATGTGTGCCACAATATTATACATTTAAGAAGCTCAATAATGTTGTTTGTGATAATAATGAAAAATAGACATAAAGGCACAGCTAGCAGATAGGTTTAAAAAACCTGACAATAACAAGTGTTGACAAGGATGCACAGCAACTGGAAATTTATCACTGTGTTTACGGGGTGACCATTAGTAGAAACACTTAGGAGAAATGTGGGATAGCATTTCCTAGACTAAATACACAAATACCTTGTGGCCCAATGATTTCATTCCTGGGAGTAGACACGAGTGTTGATGTCTTGGCTATATACCCAAAGGAATCAGATTCAGCACACCACAGATAGACCTGCACACCATGTTCTTTGTGGTAGTATTACAATACCAAGTTAGAGAATCAGCAGAAATTTCCATTGGCGGGATGAGTTGGTAAGGAAAATGTAGTGTATGTACACATAATGGAGTTTATTTGGCCATAGTGAAGAATGATGTGTCGTTTTCAGAAAAGGGGATAGAACTAGAGATTAACCCACATTAAGCACGTTTCCTCACACGTGTAGACTCTACATTTAAAATCAAGACATGGAAGTAAGAGGGGCCTATTGTGAGAGATCAGTGGGAAGGAAGGGCAGAAGAGAGGATGAAGAGGGACAAAAAGATCAAAGTGTATTGGATGCACGTGTTAAGCATCATAATAAAATGCATTATTTTGTACAAATGAAATAGACTAACAAGTAAAAACTTGAAGAGAAGTGAAAGCTGATAGACAACAGATGCACAAATATGGCCATAGAAACCTTAATTGTGATGCCTGATGAAGCACAAAGTCTCTTTCTACAATGGAATGATTAAATTAGTTGTGGTATAGTTGTACATTGAAATACCAGCCTGTAATCCAAAGGAACAGGAAAGCAGCATGTATGATCTGGATGAATCTCCATGGCACAATGTGAGCTAAGCTAGATGCTGATGACACACTGCTGGGTGACTAGTTATACTAAGTTCAAAACCAAGTGCAACTAATTGAGGACCAGTCACATTAGGGATTACTCTTGGAAGGGAGTTTACCGTAAGGGGCACAGAGAGACCTCAGGCAGTGGAAATGGTCTGTGTTTAGCTTAGTGTGGAGGATTGCAAGGATGCTATATGCATACAAATATATTAAGTTCAAGATTTATGCACATTACACTCCAACTTGAAGCCAGTGATAAGAGTGCCAAGAAAAGTAGATTTAAGCTCTGTAGGAGATGAGAGGAGGAGTAATTATGTTTGAGAGGAGGAGTAATTATGTTTGGGACAATCAAAGAAGGCTTCATGGAAGAATTGGCATTTGATTTGAACATGGTGAAAGGCAGATCATGAGCTTTCCAGGCTGGGGGAACACAGTGAGCAAAAGCACAGAGGTGGGAAAATATGCTGCATATAGAGTAAATGGTGAGCACTTCTGCTGGGAAGGCTTTTGAGGTATGGATGAATGGCGACATGGCAGACATAACTTGGGGTCAAGAGTGGCTTTATTTTGTAGCATGAACAGTGGGTGACATAGAAGATTTTGGACCAAAGCTAATGGCCAGAGCTTGCTTTAGGAAGATTAGATGATGAATTGTGGAGAGAAGAGAGGGGAACTTGGGTTATTAATCAGAAACC